ATTAAAAATTTTTAATTTTAAAAATATAAATTATAAAAAATTTTAATAAGATAAGTATTCAAGTAATCTTAAATAAAGTTATTTATCATATTTTCAAGTATATATATTTAAATTTTTATATTATTTAAATAAATATAAAATATCCAGATTTTTCAAATTTTTTACTAGTAACTTATTCTAATTATATATAAAGTTAATTAATTTTTATTAATTAATTTTATATATAATTAAAACAAGATGTTAGTAAAAAATTCAAAAAATCTGAAAAAATATATATTAAACTAGAGAACTTTAATTATTTTTTGAGTTAAAATAAAAATATTTATTAGTAAAATTAAAAATTTTTATATACAATGACAATATTATAAAGCAAAGTCTTTTAAAAAAGCATTAAATTTTATATTAATAATTAAATAATTATAAATTTTATAATCTTGTAAAATTATATTAATTTTTATAATTTTTAATTATTTTTATTTTTATATATTGTTTTATTATTTATATTTTATATTTATATTATAGTTTAATATTTTGAAATTTTAGTATTTTATATTTTATTTTATAAATTATATTTTTTATTATTACTATTTTTTGCATATTCTTGTATTAAATTTGTATATTTATATTATATTTATCTATTTTTGTATTATATTTGTCATTTTTACATTCTATTTTGGACTGAATTTATATTTTTGTATTAAATTTATCTATATTTGTATTATTTTATATTTTAAAATAATTAATATATAAAGCTTTTTTTAATTTAATAATTATTTTATATAATTAAAAAGAATTTGATATTTAAGAAGCTTATTAATAAATATATTAAAAAATAAATAATTATTACTTTATTAATTAATTTTTTACATAATCTAATTATAATCAAGTATTAAACTTTTATTATATGTAAAATATATAAGAAATTACAAATCTAGTATTTTGTTTATTTGAAATTATGTTAATAATATCTTAATAAAAAGATTATTTTCAACAATGAGATTATTTATAACAAATATAGAAACAGACTTGAAGTATATTATAATTATATTAATATATTTTTATAATATTAAATAAAAAATTAACTTATATATTTTACTTACAATATAAAAAGTTCTTTGAATAAGTCAATTTCTAGACAAAATAATACAAGAATACAAGTTTAAAACTATTAAAAAATCCGTAAATCAAATTTATAATTCCACTATTTTATCTTCAATATTTTCAGGTTCGGATTCATTTCAAGAATCAATTTGAATAATAAATAAGCAAGCAATAATAATAATAGTATTAATATATAGAAGAAACGACTCATCCACCATTAATCAAAATGCTAAATGGCCTTTGTTACGAATTTTTCAAAAATGATATTTGTTATTAAAAACAAATAATTAATAAATATATTTGTATTAATTAATAAAAATCATATGATTTTATAAATGAAATGTCATATTTTTAAAAAATAAATGGCTTTTTTATGACAAAATGACTTGTTATGACATGTTGTCATTTATTTTTAAAGGACAAATTGCCAACACTGGCTTGAAGTATTAAAAATTTCGAAGACAATTTTATATATAGTCTTTCCTTTTACAAATGATTTGCGGATTCTTATTGCTTATCATGTGCCCAGAAACAGAACACAGACTATGTGACTAACGCGAAAGTTAGAATCTGTGCTCCGGTTATAACCAACCAATAAGAATAAGTAAATCATATGTAAAGCGGCAACTATCAAAGGTAATCTTAGGTTAGGTTAGAGTAAACCTGGAAGAAAAGCTATACGTAAAATTGTCTTCACGACATTTTTTAATAATGCATCAAGTTAGATTTGATGTCTGTTTTCTTTGATTTTTCGATTTGTTTTATCGGGTTGATCAAGTATAATTGTTGGTCTCCGAAGTGCATGCAATCAGGAACAGAACAGATTCTATTTTCGCGCATCTAACACCCTAATACACGACCTACGTGTTTACTTATCGTATTGTGTAGTCCCAATTTACCTGCTTGAGTTATTAATTCGTATGCCCAGTCCGATCTGACTCGAGTAAACCGATCTTGTTCCCAATCTCTAACCCGCAAGCACACATAAAAATATCCTCTTTACGGTATACCAGATTTTTCGTATTTTTTCGTACTTTTGCCGAACGTATTAAATTCTAATCCGTGATGCTATAATATACATGTTATAATATTGCTTTCTTTCTAAGTTTTGGAATTATAAAAATATTATGTTATCCATAATTCTCAAAAACATAAAATTGGTATATTTTAGTGCAATCTCTGTTAATTGTTTAGAATTTACGTTGTTTGTTTTGTTATTAAAAGTCACACATTATTAGATAAATTTTGTTTAGGAAATATTTCGTTATTTATAATTTATTAATCTTTTATGACGAAATAATTTAAATAATTCATTTATTATTACTACGATTATGATATATGTTAGAAGAATTATTGTAATCATCACTATCGACTTTAACCCTCTAATATTTTTCATCTTTAATTACATACATATATAAAATATTTAAGCTAAATATATATAAAATAATACATATATGACATATAGATATAAATGTATAGATAAAATATTTTAATTACATGTAATCTGCTTTTATACATAAAAATTATATTTAGTGAATTCAATGATTAGGTATACAGAAATAGTCTGGATTACGCATACAAATGGTCCATCAAGCAAAGCTCCAAGAATATCCTCCTTATTTTGTACTAAACTTTATTGCAACATTTTTTGCCACAAACAAGAATATATAAAATCTTTTAATTAATCTGTTTTTATACATAAATTAACATTTATGAACTCATAGACAATATATAGAATGGATTTATACATAAAAGTGGTCCATCAAGAAAAGCTTTCAAGAATATTCTATTTGTTTGTACTTCTTGTTTCGAATGAATTCGCAGCGACTATATTAAGAAAATGTTTTGTCACAAGGATAGACAACAAAGTTACTTACGGACTTTCTTCCTAAAGTTTTGTGCTGAATAATTACTTTCCTATCCAATTTTCGGTCTCAAATACATCAATGAGCATTTTATGGGTACGTATTTTAAATTGGCTTTTCGGTTGAGATAAGAAGTTAAACCAATTTTTATTGAAAGGTGATAATATCAAAAAATAGTAATTTAATAAGCCTGATATAATACCACATACAACATTATAGATAAGTTTGAATGCTTTTCATCAGATTTATTTATAGGAAAAATTGAGAATAAAATTTATTAATAAATAATACAAAAAAACCAATCATAAATCTGTAGTATTTATAACGATAATGAGAGATACACATGTACATGTATATTTGAAAACGTGCACTGCCTTATGTGAATCTAATCAGTGCAATGATAAATTATTAAGGGCAACCCATAGTAATATATTAAGTTAAAAATTAAAAAATAAAAAATTTCTATTTTATACATCATAATATATGTCTAAGATAAAAAATTTAAAGAATAAAAAAAGTAAACAAAATTGAGAATACATAGATTTTACAATTTTTCGATAATACACTTATTTCTTAAGAACATAAGCTTATTTATAAATTTTTCTCATAAATATGAGATTATTTTTTCTAAATCTCATTCATTCATTCATATTAGATCCTTCTTCATTTAATAAATTCATTAAAATATCAAGTTTTTGTTCTAAAAATTTAACTTTTGAGCGCAATTTGGTAATCTCGTTTTCTTCGTCAAATTTATCGTGTACATGGGAATTTTCAATAATAAAAATGTTATTTAGATGTTCTCGTTGACCTGGTTGTTGCGGTTCAATCAAATTATTAGAAGTCGAAGAAAAAGTGTTATCAAAAGGAAATTCGTAGTTTCTGTTATCGAAAGATTCAAGACTCGGTGATTGCATTATATTTTCCGAATTCATCGAAACAAAATTAATGTTGCCGAAAGAAGAGTCAAAATATGAAGTTTGGCCTCTTTCTAAACACGAAAGTTCATTGTTGAATAATTCTGTAGAAAAAGTTTCTTGTAAATCAGCGGAAAGGGTTATATTCGAATTAATTTCAGGTTGCCCAAAGTTAGTTGAATTTGATGATTCTTCAATAGTCGAATTTGGACTTTCATTTTGATGGATCCAATTAGGAATAGCATGACCAGATGCTGTGTTTGATGTATCCTGAACGAACCTTTCGGAAGAGGTCATATTTACAAAAGAAAGATTTTCAAATTGATCTTTGGAATCAAGACTTTCTTTCATTTCATCGTCTAAAAATGGCGTCTGCTCATATAATGTCACTTTTTTATCATTTTGTCCTTGCTGCATACGTTTCTGGATCATTCTTTTGTAAAGAATTCTTGCGGATGCTGCAATATGTTGATATGCCTTACGGACATATTCCGGTTGATTGTCCCATGAAGCCTTGCATATTAAAGAAAGTTGAGGTTGACCCATGTTATAATCGCCAATAGCGCGAAGTTCGCGACAGACATCCATGCGAAATGCGATAAATGCATTAGGAATTCTGGATATTTTTCCATTTTTTTCAAGCCTTGCGCCTGCTCTCATGATTAGATCCCGAGAAGTAATTTTCGGCGGATAGGGGATTATAGAAAGAATTGTGTTGATATCAAAGTTTTTCTGATTTGATGTTTGCATTTTTTAAAAAGATGAATTCGTTGAATTTTTGTATCCAGTGTTTACATTTATCGAATTATATAGCGTTATCTGGTTCCTGAAAGTAACAAAAATATTGAAGAGATCCAATATCATTTTCCTTAAATCCTATGATGTTCTGCAGTGTATCCAACACTATGTTCTTGTACACAGGCTATGAGAGGTAGGTTCTTCATTGAACCAATCTGCGACAGTTTTCGGCTAACAATCAAATATTTTCGGGTAAAAAGAATATGATGCATATTTTTAGTCAGGAGATTTAAAATTTAGATCCAATTTTCCGGATAAAATAGTTCTAGAAAAAAAGTTGTGTCCCTTATTATTTTAAAAAATTGCAATATGTGCTTCTTTGTAAATTAAAAATTTCGCCTCGTTCTTACTTGCCAATTTCACACTCACATCAATTCACTAGCTATCTAAAAACGTAAATTTATTGTATTTTCTAAATTTCGCAACAATCAACTATTAACAATTTATGTGTAGTTTCCATTTTTTGAGTTTTAGCATTCATTGAAAAGATATTAAATATGGAAATCACCAAATTTTTAATATCCGCATAATGCATTCATATCGTAATATGTAAATAGGCGCATGACGCAATTTGCACATATTTAAAATTCAATTTCGGCAGGAGAATAAAATTCGAATTTCCCTCAAGATTAAAAGAGTTAAGGCTTTAGAAACTATGACACAAAACGTACCGAATGCCGGTAAAAGGCTATGCTTATGCCTATTTACTATATATAGCTGCAAAAATATGCGCAAAATAATAAATCTACCTTTGTGCATAAAAAATACTATAGCTTTATACATGTATATGTATATTTTTACAAAATTAATTTTGTAATACCTACCCGTTATCGTACAGCGCTGACATATACATGTAGTACCGGAAAAATACTCCTGAACTTGAACACAATAAAACATTCTTTATGAAAAATCGTAGAGTACCTTGCCTTGTTATTAAGCATAATAGAACTAAAAAGAAAAACCACATCACTTATAAAAAATCGGATTACTATTATCTCGGGGGATATTATGCAGCGCTATACGACATTGTTATACATTTTTTAATGTTCAAGCCATTTTTTGGCTTGTCCATGTCCATGTTCAAGATGTCCAAACTCCTGTATATTTTAAAAAAAATAAATTATCTGGTTATATACCGTGTTAAATTTTAAACAGGTTTTATTTAGATTGTTCAAACCAGTTATTATAATAAAAATTTTAAGATATTGCTACTTATTTGCTTGAAAAAATTGTTCAAAACTTTGTCCAAAACTATACGGTATGTATTTTACAAAATTTACTATTTAATTATGACATTTTGGCAAATGATTTAAAGCTGTGACATTTAATAACTCCGCCTCCCGTCCGGACGCATGCACGACCAATATTCCTTATGTGGCTTTCGACGATAACACCCAATGGTAAATCAAGTATGGCGTATTTCTTCTCAAATAGAAAGCTTTATGCTATTTCGAAGCTTCAATAAATTAAATGCTTTTCTAGGCGACGACTTGAACTTATTTTCATTTGTATGTATAATCACTGTACATGCGAGGATTTTGGACACAAAATTGTATAATTCCTTTATGGAATAAAAATTCAAGCTTTATTTTACGATTTATAATCAATATAATTCCTCTCTTCTAATTCAATATGGCTGTGTGCATTAGATAAAAAAACTATTTTCAAATTTAAACAGTATTAATGCTTCAAATTCAGAACATGCAACCTTATACATTTTTTATATTAGATCACAGAACAAAATCAAGAATTCTATGGAGAAATGAAAACATGCGTCTTTGTAACCTTATACAT